CAGGTCTGAACTGTGGGGTCCTTTCCCTGCAGGCGGGGGCCCAGTGGGACGCGTCCAGGTCTGAACTGTGGGGTCCTTTCCCTGCAGGCGGGGGCCCAGCGGGACGCGTCCGGGTCTGAACCGTGGGGTCCTTTCCCTGCAGGCGGGGGCCCAGTGGGACACGTCCAGGTCTGAACCGTGGGGTCCTTTCCCTGCAGGCGGGGGCCCAGCGGGCAGACAGATGTAAACAGGCCCTGAGCTTAAAGGTGGAAATCCAGCAGGCCTGAGAAATGTTTCATCTCTGATGTCACTCTTTCCAGCATCCCAGTAGTCCAAGCAGAGAGGGGGGGGGGGTGATAATTGCCTTTAAATGTCAAATCAGCTGAAGGTTTGGATGCTGAGAACACAGAAGCCTGTCAGAACCTTTCTGTTCTCTGAGCGGGTCACCATGGTGGTTTTTATTTTGCCGCCTTGCCTTATCCCCAGACAAAAGGATTACTCTGATGGGGGGGGTGATGAGTAATGGAACGGGCTTGTGAGAACCAGCGTTGAGGGGCCGTTTGCGGTTAAACAAGAGCGTGTCCCTACATACCACTGCTCCCTTTCCCAGCATAGACCCCCCCCCCCCACCGCCGCAGCAGACCAGCCCCTCCAGGGTGCAGACGGCACATTCCATCGTTATCAATAGACCAGGATGGAAAAAAGGAGGATTTATGAGGAAAAATCAGAAACAGTCTGTAGCAGAGAAGCTTCGTGTTTCCAGGAAAACTAAGATGCTCAAAGAACTGAAGTCGTCGTTTATGGAGATCTTTGGAGCAGAAAGCTGCCATTACTTCCTTTCCTAATCCAAGATTATTTTAGTACAACTGGACATTTTTTTCAGTAACAAACATGATTAATCTAAATAATAGTTTTTGATTTGAGATTTTAGGAAATCAAACATGAAATGATAAAGTTCTCAGTGATGTTTTATTCAGAAAAAGCTGACTGATGGATTCTTTCCCTGCTTTCTCTAACCAGCTGTGGGTTTAAAGAAGCAGCAGATAAATGCCACAGCGCCCCCTACTGCTCAAACGCCTTCCTTTAGTTTTCATGCTGTTAGATTGAAGCTTTTTTCTCTCCTCTGAAAATAGCTGATCTAAAAGCTAAAGTTATTTCCTTCTGCTGATAACAATGTTTACCTGCATTTCTGGAGATTTTTCACCAGTGACTTAAAGGCCAGAAGGTGCAAAAAGCTTAAGAAATGTTTTTGTGATTTTCTAAGTAAAAACATAACTTGGTGTAATTTTCCTGTTGGTGGGGGGGGGAGACGTGTGAATAAAAGAAAAGAATACAGATAAATAAAAAATTGTTTACCATTGAAACTGATGCTAAACGCTAATTAACATAAAAAATGATGGAATGAAATTTTCAGATTAATCTCAGCATGTTAGATTTACTGAATACAAACAAGATTAAAGGAAATTTAATAACACATTTAATCAGAGATGTAAACAGGTTCATTTTACCCGGTTAACGCTTATTTAAAGGGTTGATAAGGTTTTTTTATATATATATTTGTAGTGTTAGTTAATATGTAAAAGATTAAACTAAATCAAAATCAAGTGTTTTATTTTTGAAATGATTTCATAAAACAAACCCTGAACTTTATTAGAGATTGGTTGTTATTTAAAGGTAAAGTGGAGGCTGATCTTTTCCCGGGTGGATCATCTAAATGAATGCTCATCCTAACTGTCAATCATTCTGGTGAGATGCTGACAGACGCGCTCGTCTCCATTTTCCCTACAGTTAGTTAGTCTGACATGGTGGAAAAATTGCAAATGTTCTTTAGGAAAGGAAGCCTGGATGAGTGATGCAAACAGCAACTTTTAAACGGAGCGTTCAGGAGGAGAGACGGGCTCCTGCACGCTCTCACACACGTTATTCCCTCTCTGGAGCGGGTGCACGGTTGTGCATGTGCTTTTTTTTAAAGTGGAGGGTCTTTTCAAAGATTCTGGGAAATCCTCCACTATTCCTTTTATGGGGTTTAAGCTCAACAATCCTCATTAACCACCGATTGATGAGTTAAAATAGGACTAAAGCACCGAAAATGGGGCAAAAAAATAGTCCCCACAGCACTACAGAGCCACCACCAAGCTAAACATTCTACTCAGACATGGATCTGATCTATTATTCTCATCAAACTTTTAATAGGGATCATTTCTCTTTATTGTTGTTGATGCGTTAGTGACGCCATCACTTCCTGTTCTTAGCTGACGTGACATTCAGATGGTCTTCTGTGGATCTTGGCTGTGAGGACGGATCATTTAAGCTATTTTCATTTAACAGTGACATCAGCAGGGCGCTTTGATCCACAGTCCTGCTAACTTTAGCTTTTGACACAAACTCATTTAAATCCTCTTCCTCCGTATTCTGATCCTCCTTCTCACCTAAGTGGTCTTCATCACCTCTACATGCACTGAGCTGCTGTGATGCGACTGGCCCAGCCTGGGGACGTACACTGGAAAATCCATCCAGAGATTAGTTAAAATGTCTTAAATTAAGTGTATTTAACCTTCATTTGAGCAGGTAAATGAGAGTTTGCTAATGGAACGAGTATTTTTACTCTTGAAATAAGATAATTAGATAATATGCACTTTAAATAAGATAATGCAATGTTTTCTTATTTAAAGTGTAAATTGTCTTCTTCCATTTGCAAAATGTCTCTTTAACCTCCTTAATCCAAGAACAAATGCACTTATTTTAAGAAAAAAATGACTTATCTAGATTTTTTTCCAGTGTAAAAGTGCCGTCTGCTAATGCCTCATTTCGATTGCTTTAAATTTCCTATTTCTTTTTTTTTTTTTTTTCTTTCTTATTTCTATACCGTTGGAAAGGATTTACTTTTTTTTTTTTACACTTGTTCTACTTTTAGTCATTCTTTCCTTATTTATGTTCTTATACACACTCTGTATTGTTTATATGTTGATGTTCCTTTACATGAGCAGCTGCTCTTTATTGGGGTGGGGGGGAATAATGGAAGATTCACCTGTCATGCTGCACCACCTACTGCGTTTCTTAAATTGCCTCCAATAAAGTTAATAAATAATAAATTTCCTATTTCTTTAATAACACAATAATCCTGAGTTCCAAAAACTCATTTCGTGGAGATTCTTATTGAACAGCTGTTTATTAATTAACGGTCATTTCTTAAACACAGAACAGGATCGGTCATTTAAACAAGTCAATACTTCATTTCTTCCACCTGGAACATCTGTTGGTGGGACTCAGTTCACCTCATCATTCCTCACCTCCAATAGACATGGATATACTTCAGCATATTCTGCTGCTAAATGGATGTTATAGTTTAGTTTTTTTATTGAGGATTGAACCTCCGCCGTTTCCCATGATGCACTGCTTTCATCGGTAACTAGGTGACTGCCAGAGAGGAACCAGAGAAACTTATCGGCATATTAATCCAATCAGCTCTCTGCCAACAGGTCGCCTGGAACGCTCGCTGAACAGAGCATCGCTTTGGAGATACGCACAGGCTGCACAAGCAGGACCCCCCCACCCCCCACCCCCCCTGTTGTGACTGCTTCATTGAACTAGTTCTAATCCACACATGATGCATGAATTACTGCACTGCCTGCTCGCTCTGACTAGCATTAAAAACACCACTTAGTGTAAAATCCAGGATAACGGATCCGACTGGCGGCCGTCAGGGAACAACTATCGATATCAGGGAGACTCCTGGAACTTCCTGTAGACTTGGCATGTCTGCAGGAAGTAGTTCATTTTTATGTAACGTTCAATCTGGAGTTATTGTGCTTTTTAAATAAACAGCTTTAAACAGATTCATGTTTAGATTGAATAACAGGAGGAAGATGCTTAATATCAAACTGTTGCTTTTTTTTCCATCTCCTAAAATTATACATAATTTTATCATTTTAGCTTTTAACACTAATTCAATAAATAGACATTAAACCTTCACCAAATGTAATATTTATCATTGTGGTTCCGCCTGGCCAAACCATTTATTCGCTGCTCAGAGTAATTATTTATTTTACGCGGTTCTGTTTCTCTGCAGGGAGCTGGAGACAGCTTCATCGGAGCGCTGGCGTTCTGCATGGCTCACCACCCGGCCATGCCTCTGGAGGAGATGGCACGCAGGGCCAATCAGGTGGCGGCGCTGAGCGTGCAGACTGTCGGCACCCAGACGTCGTTCCCGTTCAAGCGGGACCTGCCGGCGGAGATGTTCTGAGACTCAAACCCTCTGCAGATAACAGCTACTCTCAGTAAACACAGTAGAAAGAATTCAGGCATCATTTATTGCATTTAAACAGACATAATTTCACACGACGGAAGGAGCAGATTGAAATATCAAATACATCCAGACATTGCTGTTGGTCCGTTTTCATTCTTTCAGCGTCATGCTGAAGTCTTACGGATGTTTTCCCATGATTGAAATCCTCCATTGAACAGCAGCCAATCAGAATCCTCTCCCAGCCAAAGCTTCATATGATCTCTGTGAATAAAAGTGTCTTTCAGAGGCTGTCCGTGTTTGCTGGTTCATCAAACCGATCTGATCTTCCTCTTCTCCAGGAATAAGACGTGTTTGTTGACTGCAAAGACACAGAAGCAGGAGGAGAGGCTGAGAATGACGTTTATTAGCGCTGGAGTTTGAAAAACTGCATAAACACACAAAGACAAGCTGAGGAAAAGCTGCTGCAATGGAGACACATTACAGATCCAATGGTCGGTTATTCAGAGATGATTTCAGGTTGAAGTTAAATAATGTTAAAACTTTTCCAGCTGTTAAACCTTCTTTCTGTTGCTGTGATGGTTTATCCATGTTAGAGTCAGACTGAAGAGACAGACTTTATTTCCTTCCTTTAGATTTTTCTGCATCATTTCTCCAATCAGTGACGTCATAAACTTTCCTCTCCTTGTCTGCCATGAGAAACAAAAGCCACAGAAGCTCCATCGACTCCCATTCAGACCATAATATCACTGTTAGTGGAAGACTAGAGTGACGTGATAGTTCACCTATACCGGGGGCGGCAACCCGCAGCTCTTTAGTGCCTTTTTTTGTGTTTGCTTTAATATGGTGTGCAGCAGGTCAAACAAAAATGAATTCTGTTTTCCAATGCTGTAAACATTTGTATGATAAATAAATGTAAACAATAATTTGCGTCATAGCCATAGAGATCAGTGATCTCTAAGACTCCTGTTTGGTCGGAGGCTGAATCAGCACAGCGGCGCTCTGACCGTTTGGTCGGACGGATTAACTTTCAGGATGTCTTCAAACTAAGGTGGGGAAAAAACACCCAGACTAAAGTTCAACCACAGATCTCTGTAATCCAACAGGACCGAACCTGTAATCCTTTGTAGTCTCCATTAAACTGAACGCTAACGATGCAGCTCGCCGTTTGGCCATCTTACCGAACGGGTCGTGTTTCCGCAGCACCAGTTTCTCTCTGAGGCGGTTCCTCTTGGTGTTAAAGAAGTATCCCGTCCCGGCAGCGCTCACCATCTGCACCAGGATGGTCCTGAAAGAACAACAGACATTCTAACCGTCATCCATTCATTCACCTATAACTGCTGCTCAGAGTTTAAAGGTATTTATAGAAAATGCTGCACACTGGAAAACAGCTAAATCTACAGAAGTCTTTTTTTCTAAAGTAAATGCATTTGTTCTTGAATTGAGGAGGTAAAAGAGACGCTCTGCAATGGAATGAGGCAATTTACATTTAAAAAAAGGAAAACACAATTACATTATTTTAAGTGCATTTTATCTAATTATCTTATTTTAACAGTAAAAATACTCATTCCATTGGCAAACTCCTTTACCTACTCAAATTAAGGGTAAATACACTTAATTTAAGACTTTTTTACTTATTTCTAGATCGTTTTTAAAAATAATTATTTTTAAAGAGTTGCTGAATCCAAAAACAATTATCTTTGTTGTTGCATTAAATATTAGTGTCTCAGCAGTTATTCAAGGTAAGAAAGAAAACCCAAACTTTCTCACTCAGATGAGAAAAACTAAAGAAGTCCTGGATCCATAATCGGAGGAATAAAGTTAAAACAAAATGATTTTCTTCCCACATCGGTAGGAAAACTTTCCTCTGGATTAGGCTGTTAGATATTAACAAAGACTTATATTACAGAATGGATACTAATTGCCTTTAACCCTCGTTTATTTCATCATTGCTCTATGTTAACGGCACTTAGTTAGAACCACCTTTACTTCAAAATGACCCTAAAATATGTCGAAAGAAAAATAAGTCAGGCTTTCAAGACTAAGGACACAAACCTGACTGTCTAGCATGGTGGCGGCAGCATCAGCCTGTGGGGTTCTGTTGCTAGGGGTGCTGCAGCATGTTTGATGGGAAATGGGATAAAGGCCATAATGGGATAAATGGCCAAGCTCCATCTGATATCAGAGATCTGATTGTTCCTTATGTTCCTAACAGAGCACTTCGCTCTCAATCTGCAGGTTTACTAGTGGTTCCTAGAATTTCTAAAAGTAGAATGGGAGGCAGATCTTTTAGTTCTCAGGCTCCTCTCCTGTGGAACCAACTACCAGTTTTAGTCCGTGAGACAGACACCCTGTCTACTTTTAAGGCTAGGCTTAAAACTTTCCTTTTTGATAAAGCTTCTAGTTAGAGTGGCTCAGGTTATCCTGATCTATCTCTATAGTTCTGCTGCTATAGGCTTAGACTGCTGGAGGACATAGGGACCCCTTTTTCATCATTCTGCTTCATTCTATCTCTATTCTCCCACTCTGCAGAATCTGTTAGTTCAATCTCTAACGTTCTGCTCTCTCTGCTTTTTCTCATAGTAGCTTCATCTGGTCTGTTCCTGTTTGGCTGTGACTCCATCCTGGAGAGAAATATCAGCTGTGCTGCTGCCATCAACACCTTTGTTTCTAGTTTCTTTGCCTGTGGAGCTGGTTGACAGTTGCCTTTTGTATCTATGCTTCTTTTTCTATGTCTGCTTCTGTCTCCTTGAACCCCAGTGGGCCTCAGCAGATGGCCGCTCACACTGAGCCTGGTTCTGCTGGAGGTTTCTTCCTGTTCAAAGGGAGTTTTTCCTCTCCACTGTCGCTACAAGCATGCTTAGTGTGAGGGATTGCTGAAGAGTCAATGAGTCGATGCAATCAGCTGGTTTTCCTTAGATAGAAAACTTTGAATCAATCTGACTGGATGATCTGGTTGATCTGGATCTATAAAGTGACCTGAGATGACATGATGTGAATTGGAGCTATAGAAATAAACCGAATAGAATTTAAAGAAATGCAGTGAGCATAGGGCACTTGATTATAACTTGCTTATTATTTACTATATATTATCATATGCAGCAATCTTTTACTTTAAACGTCTCTTTACTAAAAGCCGTTAGTTGGGCTCAGGTCATGTTTCTGTTATTTTAATTTATAAAAGATGGCAGCCCTAGTTAAACCTGAGAGAAAATAAATGAAAAGCAGTTAATGCATAGAAATATATAGAGTAGATACACTTACTTGGATTTAGCTTTAGCCACTAAAAAAGAGCAAAAAAGGTGAACTTTATTATCAAGCCTGGAAACAAACAGGGTTTATAACAGCATAACTTTACTATAAACCTTTAAGCCGCGTTTACATGTTTTAGCAGCATAAAATATATCTACTTATAAAAACAGTGGTAGAAAACATCCAAGCAGCTAGCTCAGACATGCTAACATGCTAACTGGAACACATAAAGGTGAGTAAACGTCCACGTGATCAACCGAAACAGTCTGTTTTAAAACCAAGAATAAAACATGAACTTCAGCCTCATCCATAGAATCTCTCTAATACTCACAGTTCACGCTGGTGAGAAACATTTTTTATTAAATGTTTTTAATTACGGAGAAAACATAAACAGAGGATGTGGGCAGGTCACATTGAAGGGTCGCACGTCCAGCGCGTCACAAGCACTTCCGGTGTGTCTTAAAGGCGCAGTACAGCAGAATGAATCCATGAACAACTTTGTTAAACTGAGTTAAACTCTGACTTTTATTGCTTCAGTTTTTCCCTCTCGGAGTCCAGACGTTACTCTGATCTTTTTAACTTCTTTTAAGGAACATTTCTTCATCCTTTCTGAATATCTTTTAGTTTAACTTGGATTTTGGCTGCTTTTCTCTCTGATAAACTCTGTCCAGCCAATATTCCCACGGTGCTTTCAGGGATCAAAACTGTTTTCAATTAAAGCCCATATATACATGCAGAATATTGGATTGCGATGTAATGTATGTATTTTGGGCATATTTATATGTTTGATGACTGCTGTTTTTTCTCTCTATTTCTATTACTTTATTATACCTAATGACCAAATAGACTCCATTAATTGCTTTGTACTTGTAAAAGTGACTGTGAAAATACAGATATAAATTATCTTATTTGGGCCTGAGGTTACCTGCCTATTGAGCTGAGATGCAGCACATCTTTGGCTAACCAGGGAACCATATGGGTTGCTCAGAGTTTACTGATTTTTATTTTAAAATACACATTTCAGACTAAAAGGTGAGATTTCTGCAGTGGGTCACATGTATAACGCACATTATGAGTCCTAGCCTCACATTGCCCACCCAGTAGCACATTCCTATGGGGTCTTTATGCACAGTTGGCAGGTTGATCAGGACAGAATATCACATTCAGAGGTATGAGTCTTTCATTAAAATAAACACTAACTAATAAGGTGAACTAATGATGCTGTGACATCGTAGAAAGTCGCTACCCCTAACCTTTTCAAGAGTTAAATATTCAATCACCATTCAGTCAGTTAAAAAAGCTTAAATCACTGAGACAAGTTCAACTTCCTTAAGGAGAATCTAAGAAATGCTTCCTTCTATTTCTTGTAAACAAATCATTTTATGTCCATGAACTTTTACCACGACGTTTAGGCTTATTTTTCATTGTCAATCAGTAAATTCCAGAATTAGAGAGATAAATGGAAACAAAAAGCTAAAATCTTAATATTTCTAATCTATTTATTATTGATATTAAATTTTATCATATTTATTGACGACCCAGTGGTAAATATGCTATTTAATGTATCAGATAATACTGTCTGTCATATATTGCTTGTGAACACATGCCCCAATGGCTGTGTTAGAAGAACAGAAAAGGAAAGAGTAATCAAGCTCTAATCATTGTCAAACAGATAATTCTGCACATATATATGGAATAAATCACCTTTCAGAACCTAAGAGTTTATTACCATAATCATTCAGTTCCAAGTCAAACATATTTCAGTAAAAAACTCTCAACTATACTAGTGAAACTTAACTCACCTGCTCACCTTCCTCCATGAGTCCAGTATGTAATTAAGTCAGGATAAAAAAAATGCTACAGGAGATAAAAATTATTTAAAGGTATAATGGAGGATTTTCTAGAATTTAGGAAAAGACCCTCCCTCACCACTTAAAAAAAAGAATTCTCCTTCCTAACCCTGTACCCGCTCCTGAGAGCGAACGCCTATTAAACGCAGCTCCAGCAGTGCCTGAGCAGCCAGGCGATTGGGTAACTGTACGCAGAAAGCGTAGTCGTGGATCTCTGCCCACTGGTCACCACCAACCCGTTCA